AATGATCATTTGTAACGGAGTTACCTTAAATGTTAAAAATACCCTTCTGGAAAGTTGAAAATTATTTATTAACCAAGGGGGGGTTATGTGTATATTTTGAAAACCATAAGGGGGTTATATGGTAAAGTATTAAACCATAAGGGGATTATATAGTAAAATATAAAAATTATACGGAATTAGTGTGTCATGTATTTATAAGGGTAATTTCGATATTTTTAGAAGTTTCGTCACGAATGACTATTTCCGTCACTTTGACACTTTAATTCAAACTATGAGAAGGTTATGTATAGCTTTTGAAATTATAGGGAGTTATATTAAAAAAAAATGCTAAACCATAGGAGGGTAAAATATAATTTGGCCTTCAGAAAACAATAATATTCCATGACCCTTTATCTCAACATAGTTGGATCACTTCATGACGGCGCTATGTTAAAAGCTTGAGTCTTGAATATATTTCTTTTTGTATATTCTCTACTAGTATGGACTAATATCCTGCGAAAAAGTTATCCGGGGCAGATTCGAAACTCCAGGCACATCTAAAAAGAATTTAGCAGAGAAGGATTTTGTTTCTCGTTCACTTTTGGAACGTACATTCCCAGCAAAACAGCATACTCAACAAACAACTCATGTAATGAAGTCCAACTAATATGAGTTTTGTCCTAAAACCTGAAGTCATTGTCCAAGATCTCGTTACTGACAACAGTCATTGCTTCATGAGGATAGTACATATGCAATTAATCGGGAATACTTGAGGGTTGCTATAGGGTTTTTATATTATATCACTATAAAGTTACCCCAAACACTTGAATTTTGGTTTATGTAGCAGGTACGGTATTGAAAGAGCAATTGATCTTTCTGACTAACTTTGAAGCAATTACTAAGGCTTACGCTGACACCTTCACTTTGAATCCAAATAAACAGCACCAAATAAAAATCATTACCTCAAAATGAATAAACAAGATGCTTACAAAAATAAATAAACAAGATATATGAAGGTGCGGTGCTGAGATTAGGATTCAAATCCCTCAAACAATATTGTCACATCTGCACTTTTTCTAAGCATTTTTCATCCTTACTAATCAGACTATACACTCACTAAGCTGTGAATTTCTAAGTATTTAGCATGTCTTCCACTCTTAACTAACTTTATACTCATTGGAAATGAATATTGAGAAACTATTGACGCTGATTACATTTACTCATTCACCAATAATTGCAAAAGCCTAAACATATTGCTTACCCTAGTAAGACATACACATTACGTACAGACATACAAGATGTATAAGCACAAACACGCACACACCCACACCCAACTTACAGCGCGTTTATATGCATGTAAATAAAGAGTATTTTCTTGCAACGTTAGGATGAACAACGTTATTATCTCAACTTTTTGTTATATCTTAACTAGGGAGATTAACCATTTTGAGAGACCTTTTTTTTTTGTTTGGGAAAACTAGCTATTTGAGAGTCTCAGTCAGCTCTTGATTGAGGTAAAATGTTCCACGGCTTCTGTCTTGTATTTATGACAAAATAGAAATCTCCCCTTTTTAAGTTTTCACATATCTCTAGCCTCTGCTTTAGTTTATACATATACATATCAACGTCCCTTTCCTTTATCCTCTGTTATAAATGGTTATTAGTTAAAATAAGTACCATGTAAAGTGAAGTTGATCATATAGTTGTGTGGTGTCCCAAAAATGCCCTTCAAACATATTTACTATGCAGAAAGCTTGTACTATACTCTTTTAACTTCAATTAGACCATTGTAGTTTATTTCACATTGGAAAAGTAATTATTTTAGTTTTTGGTTATCCCTTACTTTTGCAAACACAGGGTTCTTTCAAATAGCTCCATATTAATAGGTTTGACATAATATAAATGTTACCACATAAACCACCGAAAAAAAAGGAAAGCAAAACAAAAATGATGATAAATTACCAATAGAGTAAAGCTTATCTAGTAATTTCATTTTAGGATTATTATGTGAACATAAAATTACAAATGAGTTGAATCAAGTCGTATTTTGGCCTAAATGAGTTGTGCTCAACTCAAATTTTAACTGGGTTCCAGCTTGAGCTCAAGTTCTACGAGCTTTAATTCTAAAATTTGAGCTCGAGTTTGAACTCCAATTCGAACCTTGTCGAGTTTGAGTTCAAGCTTATTTGAGCTCAAATAAAATAAAAATAATTTTTGTACTTTTCAAAATGAATGAAATTGACATTTCACCCTAATTAAATAATAAAAATATGGGAGACATACATGTAATTTCATTATTAAAAATATATAAATTCGAATTGTGATATGCTCGCTCACCAAGCCAGCTCAAATTCAATTCGACCTTGATATTGACAATGATCGAGTCGAGTTTTGATGGCTCATGAGCTTTACTTGACTCGTTTGTAGTTCTATGTGAATATATATTGAAATATATAAACTTGTCATGCACTGCCAAAATAGTAAAAGAACACCTATATAGTGCCATTACAAAAACTAATTTTGAGGAAGCTTACTGAAATTTTTTTACCTAAGAGGGGTTCTGATTTTTCATAAAACTAGAGAGGTAATTGATACTTATCCTTTTAGTTAATAAGATCATTAGTGAAAAATATGAAATTTAAATTAATACACCTACACGCATCTATCCAAATTTGGATTATTTTCCTCTTCTTTATGCCTAATGAAGAATATAGTTGATAACCTTTGATATATATTTTTTTAAACTTTGATGTATTTCCATACAAATTTTGTTCTAAATTGAGAAATAAAAGTTAAATGTAAGTTAACAATTAGCAAAGTTGATTCATAAGGAATTAGACCAAGGACACACAATGAGAATTTGAAGGAATTTTTTGTTTAAAATTAGAGGAACACACCCACATATGTATAAATATGTATGTATATAGACAGTACATGACACTTTTTATTGTACACGGAAGAGTTTAAGCTTTAGAAAGTATCTTTATTTCCCTAATGTGAGCTACTAAGTTCATGCTATGCTATCTAAGTAGTATTTTCCTCGTTGAACCTACCTATTTATAGCAAAAATGATCAGTAAGAATGTGGTTTAACTTATCCATTTTCATATTGAAAAAGAGAGCAACTTTGTCTCTTTTTTTTTCAAAGTGCCATATTCAAAATATTGCAATTTATGGTTTGCTATTTATATTGCTACTATAGACTTCCAATAACCAATAGGTCTTGTTTTAACCTCTTTAAAAACTTAGAAAGTGAGACGAATAATAAGTTGAACTTTGAAAGTACACAGCAAGGCTATTTATGTTTGTACACAGAAAATTTTAAGATTTTGCCAACGTATAACAAATATACCTACGACTGAAACATATCTTGGTTTTGGGGTAACTTTTCTTGATTATTAAGTCAAACATGCTTAGATATTTAAATTAGTAACTATGGAAGAAAATTGACTTTGATTCTCATGATAGAAAACACCCAAATTGGTGCTAATAATATTCCATTATCAAACTAATAATATTAAAGACCAACAATCTTTAAAGGTTATTATGGTTCATTAAACCTTCTTTTTAGGTTAGCAATAACTTTTATTGAATATAGAAATTTGAAATGTTTATAACTCATATAAGAGTGGTACCATCTTGTTAATCAACTACTACTTGTTTTTAGTAACTTGATTATCGTCTATTTGTCGTATAATATATAATCCTTCCCTGAACCAAGCATTTTTACTCTTTATTTGATTAATAAGAATGCCAATTTTTCTAAATAAACAATAGAAGAACTTTTGCTTAAATTTTTTTTTCTTGAAAAAAAGATCTCTTGTTGTATTTAAAGTCTAGCTCTCTCACAAATATAATAGAAATTCTAAAATTATTCTGGACATATCCATGATACTTAACAAACCTAAAAAGATTACAATCCTTTCTACCATGCATTTCTCCTCATACATATTAATTTCCAGTGTAACATAAGATACCAACTCCGGCCTGTAGAATAAAGAGAACAGTATAATTTGTTTACATCATATCTACAATCTTTTTGGAAGATTTCATAACCTTTATTTTCTAATTATTACAACAACAATGAATAATCTCACTATTCTAGAAATTCCTCCTAATTAGAATGACTAATGTCACTTAATTTGTGGACCAGAAGAACCAAATTTCCACACAGGTTTAGTTATTTAGACCCAATATGCATTTCTAAGTTGATCCGCCAATAAAGACACTACTATTTCTAGACATTTGATCATGTAGCTAGCTGAGAGAAAAAAGATGCTAGAGGCTGTTTAGTTGAGCCAAAATCAATTATAAGTAAAGACAACACATTATTGTTACAAATCCAGCAAGCTAATCTCGTAGCTGACAAAACAAATCTTATGTGTTCTAAGTTACCTTGTAATTACATAGTAAGGTGCAGATAACTCAAAATGATCGTTACTTAGTTAGATTATTGCCTTTTATTAGCCTAACAGAACAAAAATAATGTTAATATCAGTGGTGTATTTTTTATTTGGTTCTAAAACTTCTGAAAGTCAGACTTCTTCGCAGGAATGAATTTAGACCTTGTCAGACCTTAGGCTAGTAGCCAAAAAGCTCACGACAAACTAGGCCCTGTATAAGGACTTTCTGAAAAAAGAAAAAAAAAAGCCCCTGTGTATGGATTATTTCTAGTAGTCTAAGAAGTGCTTTAGAGGAAGAGAGTGAGATACAAAACAACCCAAATGACGCAAGAAGTACAGGCAAAAGGAAGAGACAATATAGAGGATAAAGGATGTGAAGAAAGTGTAGAACTATGAAGGGAAACACATAATTTTATAAGCTAAAGGAAATTGCATATATGGTAGTATTGGAAAATACAAAATGCAGTTTGGATTTCTCAGTGAATCCCATAGATACTTATTTAAGAATTCCAAGGAATCTTAACAAATTTTGTTCTGAGAGCTAACAGAAGCTACATATATATAGCTAGTCTAGGTCTAGGATGCCCTGACCTTACCAACGGACAAACTAATCCCCACGGGAACTAATGCCTAGACTTTTTACTCAGAATCAATAACAGAAAATGACAGTGCACTGCAAACTTTACTAGCCTCACTGATTACCCTAACACCTTTCTTACCTTTTTATTGAAATTAATGCCTAATTTACTTTCAATATACATTCTTTTTTCTACATTGCTTTCCATGTTCTTCCTCTTCATTCATGTAAGAAAGCAACAGGAAAATATTTTTGAATAAAAAAGCCCACAAAAATGTATACCAAACTAGGCTGTAATACAGGTTACACACTGTACTTGCTTCACTCCCTATGTGTATATATATATCAAATAGCGTAAAAAAGCACAAACAAGTAACACAAACTATGTGTTTTCTTTGCCTGTCATAGTGGTGTTATTGACGCCCAAGCCTCAGCTCCAGATCAAGCTCCTCAATCGCTGAATCCTTCCTGTTTTGACCAATGTTATCAAGAATATTGTTTTCATTGCTATTGGAAGCAGAACGCTCAGTGTTACTAGACTGAGAGATTGATGAATTCATGCTATGAGGGGTTGCAGGATAAGTATAAGGGCAAGGCGAGATCAGAGTATTGGTTGGGAAACTCGAGACAGATAAAAGGGCTGAAGGTGATTCCATGCAAGAATTCATCGGCGTAGGAGTCAAGACAGTGCCATTAGGGTTGGCTAAGGAATAGACCAGGCACAGTCCACCATTTGTGATGAATTCTTGAGCTGGGATTATGAGAGTAGAAGAGGCGGTGGAGGGAGAGGTGGGATTGTTCATACCAGGCGGAGCTTGGTGGAGCCGAGCACGGTCCCGGCGGTGCACGTTCATGTGGCCTCCTAAGGCTTGGGCGGATCGGAACTCCCTTCTACAAAAGGTACAAGTGTAGGACCTTGGGGGCCAAGTGGTACCGTTGATGTTTCCTGTGTCTTGTTCAAATGCTCTTACTTCCCATGAATCATCTTCATCTTCAGCTACTTGTTTAGGGTTCCACATCCAGGAAGTAGTGGCGGATGAGGTCTGGGGTTGCGGTTGTGGTGGTTGAAATTGAGCTAATTTTTGGAGCTGAGTCAAGGACAGAAGACCAAGCTCGGCTGCCATGATTCTTGTAACATTTAAGATAGGTGATTGATATGATGTGGAATGTAGTTGAAGTGTGAAGCCTTGTTAAATAGGGATGGGCTTAAAGGGTATATAGTGACAAAATTAGGCTAAAGTACAGAAAGTGAGAATAAAAAAAAAAGAAAAGAAAAGAGTACGAAGATATCAACAAGGTCTGGTTATTTAAGTGTGCAGTTGGATTTTAATACTGGAAAAATTGGTTAATGAAGAATATAATAAGTAGCATATCACGTTTAGCTTTTTTAATTATGAAGAATCAATTTTTAGTTACATTGGATACATCGACAGGCTTTCCAAATTCATTTAATTATACGCAAATCTTTCACGGAAGAAAATAACATTACAAAATATTGGTCAATTAAAAAAAAAGAAAAGAACTTCTAGAATTAGAAAGAAACACTAGGAATGTTGGAAAGATGAACCCTTAAATAAATAGAAGTTAAACTTGGTGAACACTGGGAATCACTAAGTCTTTGTTGATTAGGAAACCATGGCAGAGCGACGATTTATGCCAATATCCTCTTGCACTAAGAAGTAAGAAATTGATATATACTGAGACATGATTGAATCAGTCTTCTAACATTTCCTTTTCCTTTGGAAGGAGAGAGACTTGGGGCTTGTGTAAATAATTTGATATACTAGTATAACATTAGAAACTAGGCATCTCATCATTAGACTATGGCGTCAATGATGAAGTCAATCTTGATGTTAATTAAGCTCAATCACCAAATATCATTGTGATCAAAATTCTTGCCAATTGTTTTAGCTAATGACAAATGAAGCTTTGGACCCCAATTGGCACATAGCTTTCTTTTGGAAGGTAGCCTTTGTCACCATATTCTGTGTGCTGCTACAAGTAGAAGTCCGAGTAGTAGATGCAAGCCAATTTCGTCCGGAAGGGGGAACAGAAGTGAATGTGCGAATGGGTTCAATTAACTTTAGTAACATTCCTCAGTTATTCCTTGAGTTGAGTACTGCCATTTCAGTGGCATGATTTCACCGTCATTTCTTCTTTCTGGCTTATTAGCTCATTGGAGTCAATGTTCATGTCTTTAACTTGAGGTGAAATAGGAATCCTTTGTAAGCTTCTGAACGAAATTTATTTCCAGTCATGATGGCTCTGGACCGCGCTTTGGCTGATTTTCTGATGAGGAGACCTAAATGCCTCGCGGTATTCTTTGTTCCCATATGTGATAACTGCCATTTTTCTCTGAATGCCAGTTTGAACATTCATTTTCGAGTCATAATTAGAAATGTATTCGAGCCAAATCGAACTCAAATAATGCTGTCCAAACTTGAGCTGAGAGCTTGTCAAATATATATGTGCCCACATTCAAGTGTGAATTTGAATAAATGCCTTAAGACGAGCTCAGCTTGCCTATTCTCTACTATGATCTAGCTCAATAAGTGTGAGGTCAATTTTAAATTTATCTTGCTTGAGTTTGAGTGGCATTAATAATAATTTATATTCTTTAAATATGGAATAAAATAAATATTTTAGTTAAACCGTGCTTCTTAACAAGTCCTGCGTACATATACTTGAGCTTGACTCTGTAAATTACTTGACTCACTCGAAACTTTAGTTGAGTACACTTGCAGGTAGCTCGATTAAACTTGATTCATTTGCAGTACATAATCTTAATTAGTTCGAATGTAAATGAATCAAATGTGGATGGCCAGGCACAGGAGACATAATGCAAAAGGTGAGCCAGATAGTGCAACTAAAAGGTTGAGTGTACATTTCCTTCTTTGCTATTCGAAAAATCCCAGAGTATATGCCTTCATTCATTTTTCTCCATTCTGCATTTCACAAACAACACGTTAAGACTGCCCTCAATTTCATTTCAAGAAAAATATGAAAGTTAATTGACTTAAATATTAGCTGCCCTAAGTTTCTCGATGGAAATCCTTCTTTTGTCCTTTTCCATCACCATTTAACTTGATGACAGGCTTAACAAAAAAAGCAAAAATAAAAGATTAGTCTTCTTTATACTGACAGTGTATATACTATCAGCGTTAAATGAATGACAATTATGCAAACTTTGAATTTAAAATTCAATTTTTACACATATGTCATGAATCCAACGGTGATAATATATACACTATCAGTGTATATAAAATTTAATAAAAAAAATAAAAGACTATAACCATTCATAGGTGGTGTCTCATGTTTTCTTCTCATCTCTAGACATATGTCTTAATTATGGTCCCGTTTGGCAATTGAGTTTTTTGAGTGTTTGTTTAAAACTTTGCTGTAACTTACTGTAAAAGTTGTAGAAAAGCTTTTTGAGATATGTAAATTTTTGGATACTTTGAAGTGTATAGTTTAAAAATTTTGAGAAGTTTTTTGAGGTTACTGGAGCTAAAGTTGTTAAAAAAACTTGTAACAGACAAACTTGGCCAAAGATTTGCTTGCCAAACAAGTCCCTAGATGGGCCATCATAGACATAAAATTTACCTTTTCTCCTAATCATGACAATGTTTCCCAATTTAATTATTAAAGTGTCTTTAATCAAATTCTCCGTGCTTCAAACGTTGTCCTTCCTCGATGTAGACTGTAATCAACAAGTGGATTATTTTAACCTCTTGCACTACTGGTTCCGGTCTGAGTGAGTAAAAAAAAAAAATCTGTAAAAAGAAATAAAATGAAAATGAAAAAAAATTGATGTGATGGATCAAATCTTTAATAGTTAGTTTAGGTGCGTTTGGCAGTGGGAGTGGGGGGGTGAAGCGGGGGATTGGGGTGGACCAGGGGGGAAAAAATGGGGGGGGTGAGGGGGGTGGGTAGGGGCGTGTGGTGGGGTGGGGGGGGGGGGATATGGGGGCGAGGGGAGGCGCCCAGCGGCGGGCGGGCGAGCCCGGGGTGGAGTCTGCGGGGGGTGGGGGGGGGGGGTGGTGGGGAAAAGGGAGGAACGGGGGGGGGGGGGTGGCCGGGGTGGGTGGGTGCGGGCCGCGGTGCGCCTCGGTGCGGGGGTGTGGGGGTGGGTGGGGGTGGAGAGGTGGGGGGGGGTGAGGGGACCAATGGGGTGGGTGACGGGGGTTGTGGTGGGGTATTTGAGTGTGAGGGATTGGGGTGATGCGGGGGTAGGGTGGTGGTGATTGGGGGGGGTGGATGGAGGTTGGGGTGGGTGTGGTGTGGTGGAGCCGCGGGGGGGGGGGTGGGGGTGCAGGGGGGTGGGGGTGTGGAGTGGGGGGGTGGGGGGGGGGTGGGGAGGTTTTGGTATGAGGGTTGAGTGAGGGGAGGGAGAGGGCGAGGTGTGGGTGTGAGGATGTGGGGGGGCGTGGAGGAGCGGGAGGGTGTGGGCGGGATGGGGTTGGAGGGGAGGGTGGGAGGGGGGGTGGGTTGGTGGGGGGGTAGGGATGGGGGGCGGCGCCTTTTGGGGGGGTGTTGGGCGTGTGGGAGTTGGTGGGGGGGGGGGGTGTGGGCTGGTTTGGTGTGTGGGGGTGGGGGGTGGGGATGGGGATGGCGGGGGGGGCGGGGGGATGGGGGTGGCTGGTGGGGGGTGGTGTGTGGGGGGGTGGTGCGGGGGGGTGGATGATTGTGGGGATAGTAGAGTGGGGATGGGGGGGGGAGGGAGGGGTGGTGGGGGGTGGGGTGGGGGGGGGGGGGGGGGGGGAGGGGGGGGGGGGGGGGGGGGGGGGGTGGGCGTGAGGGGGGGGTGGGGGGTGGGGGGGGGGGGGGGGGGGGGGGGGTGGGGGGGGTGGGGGGGGGGGGGGGGGGGGGGGGGGGGGTCCCTAAGGCGAATGAATTCAATTGAATATTGTACCGCTTATTTAATATACCTTTAGCTATACACAAATCTATTTATTACTACATTATCTCTGTCTAACGGCTTGACAAAAAAAAAATTGTTGCAAAAACTTGTCCATATCTACATAAATATTCACGTCTGCGATATAGCCTAGAAAAAGCTAATCCAGCATCAAAAATTACTAGATAAATTTATATATATATATATATATATACATAATTAAAAAGAGAAGCCAATCTTACTTGTGTACTATTGCCTTTGTTTACATCGTCGAGGTCCAACACATTGCACCCTGGTAACAAGACAATGGCTCTTCCATGACGTTCGATCACAACTTCCCCTACCATCTACCGTCTAAAAGGTTTAGGGCATGGGATAAACATACAAAATATAAGAAGTGAATTTACTCTAAATTGACCCTTCAGGGTAGCCGACCTGGTGGTGTAGCTTCTAGTTAGAGTATTCATCAGAGTTCGACCCCTGTCACAAAAATGGAAAAAAATCCAACAGCCCAAATAAGGATTGGGGCCTGAAGTGGGTCCAAATCCTTTTTTTGAACAAAAAAAAAAATTCACTCTAAATTTTAAACATTATCATCTATCCTTCAAATTTAGAAAAATTTAGTGAAGAAATTTTAAATTTTTCAGAACAATTAACATTCGGACCCAACTCTTATCATGTACCTAAGGGCACAGGATAATTGATCCTCACTCGAAATATTTTAACTTATCAAGATTCTATAGCAGATTGGACATATATTTTTTTTTAATCTTGACTTGAACTAGTTGAACTTAGGTATTGTAACAAGTTTATTGTTTGTATGCATGTCTTCTTGTTCTTTTTACAATATGTTTATGTTTATAGAGTTTTGAGTTCAACTACTCTTACCATCTGTCATTATTAATACTGTACAGTTGGGGACTATATATCCTATCGATTGAAAGGATATTCTTGATAATTGGCTAAATATTTACTAACATTTTTCCGTGGAACTTGACTTGTACAACTGATATAAGATAAATCATGAAGACAAGGTTAGGACCCCAGTTGCTGTGTTAAAGCACCCAAGTCATGGAAATTGACAGATAAAAGTTGTGTAAAGAGGCCTCGAACTGGCAAATGGACAATTGGATAGATTGATTAGTCCGGAAGTTTTTCATACGGAGTATTAGAAGACCAAGAATCAAAAAACTGTCATAAACTATACATATACTTGTATTGAGCAATATTGATTCCACTTTGAACCCTTCAAGCTTTTCTTAATTGACCGTATATCCTGA